GACAGGTGACTTGCCCTATGACTGCAACCAAAGGAAGCCACCTATCTGCAGAACCCTGAAACTTAGGACTGCAAGCAAACATTAAATACAAAGCAAATAAATTTGGAGCTCCTGGTACGGCCGTACCAGCACAGGAGCCAACCCCCAAAAGCCAGTCTTGTTTCCTGCCTCCAATCCTACAGCAGCTAACTGAACCCAGATGAGCAGTCTTATTCCTTATTTTTGCCTTAACCCTCTTTTCTTTATCATTAAGCCTTCCAACAGCCTTCTTCCTTAACCTTTTTTTTTAATCTCCCTGTAAGCTTCTATTATCTGTTTCTCCATCTCCCAAGCTCTCTCTCTCTCCCCCCCCCCCCCCCCCCCCACTCCTGACTTCAAGGCTTTTGCTCAGGAGCATGGGAAGAAGAGAAGATGAAAGAAAGAGAGTTAGGAAGAGGAATGCTCCCTCTCCTTCTACCCCTTATGGGGGACCACAAGGAGCTGGGTGAGGCATCAAGAAGGGAACCTCCAATGGGGAGGGAGTAACTGGGAACATCACTGTATTGCTGCAGTTCCCAACACCATCACCCAGCCCTTTGAAGGGCCAGGGGACAAGGAGGTGGCTCAGAAGGATGATGGCCCATCCAGAGGTTGCGCGGGCAACAGTGGGACCTCAGAAATACTGAGGGAGCCTCCTCCCAGAACTGGTGGCTTGGATTAGGACCCTAGTGACAAGGGTATTTATTTATTTATTTATTTGACTTGTATACCGCTACTCCCAATTTGGCTCGGAGCGGTTTACAGCAGGAGAAAACAATACAATTAACTTTAAAATACAATAAAAACAAGAACAGACATAGTCCCGAGTTATTCACCCATCGAAAGCTTGTCGGAAGAGAAAGATTTTACAGGCTTTCCGAAAAGCAAGTAGGTCTCGGATAGTTTGGGTTTCAACTGGCAAGGCATTCCATAAATAAGGGGCTACAATCGAGAAGGCCCTCTGCCTAGTCGAGGACAGATGATAAGTCCGGGTGTTGGGGACTTAAAGCAAATATTGGTCTTCGGACCGAAGTAATCTCTGGGGTTGGTAGGGGGGAAAGCGGGCCCTCAGGTACGCCGGCCCCAGACCATGTAAGGCCTTAAAGGTTAGTACCAGCACCTTGAAAGTAATCCGGTACTCAATTGGTAGCCAGTGCAGCTGTTGTAGAATTGTGGTGATACGACACCTTGCCAGCACCTCGGCGAGAAGACGAGCCACCGCATTTTGCACCAGCTTCAGTTTCTGGATCACTGACAAAGGAAGGCCAATGTAGAGGGCGTTACAGTAGTCAAGCCTCAAGATGACCGTCGCCTGGATCACCGTAGCCAGGTCGTTCCTAGATAGGAAGGGATAGGTATTAACCATCAGGCAGGGAAAACAGCACCCGAATTCAAGGACAGGTAAAAATTTGACATAGGTGTTGCTTGTACCAAGAGAAAGAGAATGTATTGTGGCTTATAGAGAACCAAAAAGAAAAAAAAACAGAGCACACACATGTGGGTACCAACCTGTGTTGTACTGGAATGACTCTGCCATCGTTTAAGGATTAATAATTTCTCCTTTGCATGTGTGGTGAAGGAGAGCGCGCCAAAGCCATCTGGGGCCTTGGGAAATCACCAAAGGGGATAGGGTGGCCAGGCAGATGCCTGTTCCCATTTTTCCTCCCCATACTGTGTGCCAAGAGCTTGCTAACCCTCCAGTAAAGGAGGAGACTGGAGGACCTCTGGAGAAGATCAGCCCAGCAAGCTCTGCTACATTCAAGCATCCATCTTCATCGCTATGATACTTCACCTTGTTGATGGGAAGCTTCCCACCGGAGTGGAAATCATCTATCGGACGGATGGCAAGCTATTTAACCTCAGCAGACTGAAAGCCAAAACCAAGGTTACAACAACATCTGTTATAGAACTCCAGTATGCTGATAACAACGTCGTCTGTTCAAATTCAGAAGAAGACCTACAAGCCACTCTAAACACCTTTGCAGAAGCATACGAGAAGCTCGGCCTGTCATTGAACATTGAAAAAACCAAGGTGCTGTTCCAGCAGACACCAGCCAACCCCTCTTCAATGCCAGTGATACAGCTTAATGGTGTAATATTAGAAAATGTTGGTCATTTCTGCTACCTTGGCAGCCACCTCTCCAACAAAGTCAACCCGGACACCGAAATACAACACCGCCTGAGCTCTGCGAGCGCAGCATTTTTCCGAATGAAGCAGAGAGTGTTTGAGGACCAGGATATCCGTAGGGATACCAAGGTACTTGTTTATAGAGCTATTGTCCTCCCGACCCTGCTGTATGCCTGTGAGACATGGATTTTCTACAGACGTCACATGCAACTCCTGGAACGATTCCATCAGCGCTGCCTCCGGAAAATCCTGCAAATCTCTTGCGAAGACAGGCAGACAAATGTCAGCATGCTGGAAGAAGCAAAGACCACCAGCATTGAAGCGATGGTCCTCCGCCATCAACTCCGCTGGACTAGCCACGTTGTCAGGATGCCCGACCACCGTCTCCCAAAGCAGTTGCTCTATTCTGAACTCAAGAACGGAAAACGGAATGTTGGTGGGCAGGAAAAGAGATTGAAAGATGGGCTCAAAGCCAACCTTAAAAATTCTGGCATAGACACTGAGAACTGGGAAGCCCTGGCCCTTGAGCGCTCCAGCTGGAGGTCAGCTGTGACCAGCAGTGCTGCAGAATTTGAAGAGGCACGAATGGAGGGCGAAAGGGAGAAGCGTGCCAAGAGGAAGGCGCGTCAAGCCAACCCTGACCGAGACCGCCTTCCACCTGGAAACCAATGCCCTCACTGCGGAAGAAGATGCAGAGCAAGAATAGGGCTCCACAGCCACATACGGACCCACAAGAATATTGGAAGACAATCCTCCCCAGAAAACGAGGGATCGCCTAAGTAAGTAAGTAGGGATATGTGGAAAGAGTCAGGTACCTCCTCATCTGGGTGCCATCTTGGCCATGTGCTTCTCAAGTGTGGCCAGATGTTGAGAGACAGAGACCTCAGACATCCCCCCCCCCCAAAACTAGGCAGACCCCTACAAAGAAATGCTGCAAGCGCTTTGGGACATCAGAAGGGAAAAGAGAGGTAGCTGTCTAGTCCTCAAATGAAGACGGGTATGCTGGAAGCCTTTTTCTCAGACACAAACAAAGCCGGACTTGGGCCTCACCCCACTCCAGGGGGGGAATCATTCTCCTAGACACAGAGCTGCCAAGGGTGGGAAAAGCTGCTTTTTTCTAACTGGTGTTCTGGCTGGGCATGAAATGTCCTTCTCATCCAACTGTATGCAAGTGGTTAGGAACAAAAAGAGCAAGCCACCAGCTAACAGGCAGTGACCTGTTTCTGCCAGGAATACTGAATACAGGCCCAAAAAAGTTCTGGAAAAGCTGCAGGTCTCCCTAGTGGAGACTTCAATACCTGTGCTTGTATCTGCTATTTTTTACCAGAATGGCCAGGATAGTTAAAATGACTCTCTAAGTATAGGGCAAAAGCAGCCCTCAAGAAAGCCTGTGAGGCACCTTCCCTGATCTTTAGGGCATAAGTACAGCCTTGCCTACTGCATCCCTGCGGTGGACAAGGGAACTCTTGAATGCGATCCCTCAGAATGAAGCAAGAATAACACAGTGTCTGAATGAGCTACAGAAGGATTTGGCCTGTGTAGCTGATGGCACACTAGATACGGTTTAGTCTTGTGCCAGGGATCAGGCAGCGACCATGGCAGTAAGGTGCCAACTCTGGCTCAAGCACTGCATTGCAGATTCCAAGTCAAAATGAAATTTGGCATTCACACCCTTCCTAGGAACCAAATTGTTTGGGAAATCACTGGAGCCAGTGCTAGTAGAAAATAAAGATAACAAGAAAGCTCTATAATAAAGCAATACATTTTATCTCAAGACGAGATACAACATGGTTAAAACAGACACATAACATATAATATTCTTAAAATGCATATATTAAAATATACATAGCAAAGATTAATCAAGCTCTATTATTATTATTATTATTTATTCAACTTGTATACCGCTACTCCCAATTTGGCTCGGAGCGGTTTACAGAAACAGATTAAAACAATACAATTAGCTTTAAAATGACCATAACAATAACAATAGGCAGCGGGAAMAAGCATAGCCCGGATTGTTCACCCATCAAAAGCTTGTCGGAAAAGAAAWTTTTTACAGGCTTTCCGAAAAGCAAGTAGATCTCGGATGGTTCGAGTTTCAACCGGCAAGGCATTCCATAAATAAGGGGCCACGATYGAGAAGGCTCTATGCCTAGTAGATGACAAATGATAGGTCTGGATGTTAGGAACTGCAAGCAGATTTTGGTCTTCAGACCGGAGTAATCTCTGGGGTTGGTAGGGGGATAAGCGGGTCCTTAGATATGYCGGCCCCAGACCATGTAAGGCCTTAAAGGTTAGTACCAGCACCTTGAAAGTGATCCGCTACTCAATTGGTAGCCAGTGCAGCTGTTGGAGAATTGGGGTAATACGACACCTTGCCGGCACCCCGGCGAGAAGACGAGCCGCCGYATTTTGCACCAGCTTCAGGATGGCACAAACAAACATTACATTTTTATTTATATAGATTAGTAAATGTATTTGAAATATGCTGTTATAGCAACTAGCCTTTTGGGGGTTAGTTCCCCCCACTCAGGAAGCTGGAGGGTTCTTTCTTTTCTCCCCATGAGCAAGTGGGAGGAGCAACACAAACATATACAATGTTACTCCCATCTGATGGAAAAGAGAGTATCTGGCAAGATATAAAGCTGGCAAGCAAAGTTCTGTGTGGGCAACATATTTGTTTTCCTGAAAGATTTAGCAATATGTAATTAAAAGTAGAAGAGTTTCATGAAACAGCATTCACCTATCCATTTCAGTTTTTTTAAAGGTGGATCGAACATGATGAAACAAAAAGAGTTTTTAACTGAAGGCAGTGAAATAACTTGATATTTTCTTACATTTTTTAAAACCATAGTTGAAATCTGGAGAGACAGCTGCCAATGTTGCTAGAGAACTAGCTGAGCAAACAAAAACCCATCTGAATGCTGGTGACATCACTTATTCCGTTCGTGCCATGGATCAGTTGGTGGGTCTATTGGATGTGCAGCTCCGAAACCTGACACCTGGCGGAAAAGATAGTGCTGCGCGTAGCTTAAACAAGGTAAGAAAACCTCAAATGTAAAAGAGGGTGTGTGTCCCCATGATTTCCCTGTGAGAAGTCATCCACACATCTCATTTGAATCAAGGTCATCAGTGCTTTTCTCACCTTCTGGATCTTCTTAACTTGTGATGAGCTTGAGAAAACACTTCGAGAGTGTGCCTATGTGTGGATAATAGAAATGAATGGCAGGTTATGGATATCTCTTGGGAAATTATATTCCAGAGTAATTTGGCAGAATGCTGTCCTTTTCCTCTCCCAGAATAATTGTAGATACTTGCTCCTCCACCAAAAGATAAAATGAGATGAGACGTAAGCCACATGTTCAGTGAAGACATTGCTGACTGGCTTGCATCCACTGTGGGGCTTCAATGATGATGATGATGATGATGATGATATTTCTGATATTACTTTTTCTCACTCAAAGAGACTCCTCATAAATATAATTTTCCTATATTTTGAGATAGGAAGAGCAAGAAAAATTAGAAAAACAGAGCCAAAAGGAGAATTGATAATAGATATAGAAAGGGGCCATTGGTTTCTTCATCCTTTTGCATGTGATATCTGTCCTCTTGAGGGCAGGTTGCTCTTGCCAACCTCCCTCTTCACCATTCCTAGATATCCCTCACTCATCATAAACATGCACACACACACGTTCACTCTTACATTATTAACAACACTGTTTTGGCTACAAGCTGTATACTGTTATTTATTTATTTAGGGCTTTTATAGCCCGTCCTTTCTCAACCTCCACAAAGGGACTCAGGACGGCTAACAAAGTGGCACCCCATGGCGCCCACATCAAAACATACCGTATATACTCGAATATAAGCCGACCCGAATATAAGCCGAGGCACCAAATTTTACCACAAAAAACTGGGAAAACATATTGACTTGAGTATAAACCGAGGGTAAGAAATGCAGCAGCTACTGGTAAATTCCAAAATAAAAATAGATACAATACAATTACATTAATTGAGGCACCAGTAGGTTAAATGTTTTGAATATTTACATAAAACTATAATTTAACATAAGACTGTGGAACTCTGATTAAACCATTATTCTAACCTTCTTCAATGTAAATTTGCTTGCATATCCTTCCAATAAAAAGAGAGTAAAATAATAAATGTAATGACACTACCGAGAGCTACTTGCTTTTCGGAAAGCCTGTAAGACCTTTCTTTTCCGACAAGCTTTCGATGGATGAATAACTCGGGACTATTCTCGTTTTATTGTATTTTAAAGTTGGTTGTATTGTTTTAATCTACTGCTGTAAACCGCTCCGAGCCAAATTGGGAGTGGCGGTATACAAGTCTAATAAATAAATAAATAAATAAAAGAGAAAATAATGGAAATGTAATAATAACAGTAATAATAGAGTAAAATAATAAATATAATAAAAACAATAATAAAGTAAAATGATCAATGTAACAACAACAATACATTAATTATGTATTTCTAACAGGGTAAAATAATAAATAACCTTGGCTCGAATATAAGCCGAGCGGGACTTTTTCAGCCTAAAAAAAGGGCTGAAAAACTAGGCTTATACTCGAGTATATACAGTAAATATACAATTATCAGCAATATAATAATAACAATATAAAACAGTATAAACTGTATAAAACCATATAAACAATATAAAAACACAACAAATAGTCAGCGGTCACCGATTTAAATCATTATCTAAGGGCAGTCCATCAGTTTTAAATAAGTCAACAGTCAGTAGGTCAACCTATTCTCCAAAGGTCTGATCCCATAGCCAGGATTTTACTTGTTTCCAGAAGGTCAAGAGGGATGCAGCAGATCTAATTTCGCTCGGGAGGGAGTTCCATAGCCAGGGGGCCACCACAGAAAAGGCCCTGTCCCTTGTCCCCGCCAGACGCGATTGTGACAATGGGGGGGACTATGAGCAGGGTCTCCTCTGATTATCTTAGGGCCCTAAGCCGTAGTGGGAGATACGTTCATAGAATCATAGAATCAAAGAGTTGGAAGAGACCTCATGGGCCATCCAGTCCAACGCCCTGCCAAGAAGCAGGAATATTGCATTCAAATCACCCCTGACAGATGGCCATCCAGCCTCTGTTTAAAAGCTTCCAAAGAAGGAGCCTCCACCACACTCCGGGGCAGAGAGTTCCACTGCTGAACAGCTCTCACAGTCAGGAAGTTCTTCCCAATGTTCAGATGGAATCTCCTTTCTTATAGTTTGAAGCCATTGTTTCATGTCCTAGTCTCCAGGAAGCAGAAAACAAGCTTGCTCCCTCCTCCCTGTGGCTTCCTCTCACATATTTATACATGGCTGTCATATCTCCTCTCAGCCTTCTCTTCTTCAGGCTAAACATGCCCAGCTCCTTAAGCCGCTCCTCATAGGGCTTGTTCTCCAGACCCTTGATCATTTTAGTCGCCTTCCTCTGGACACATTCCAGCTTGTCAATATCTCTCTTCAATTGTGGTGCCCAGAATTGGACACAATATTCCAGGTGTGGTCTAACCAAGCAGAATAGAGGGGTAGCATGACTTCCCTGGATCTAGACACTATGCTCCTATTGATGCAGGCCAAAGTCCCATTGGCTTTTTTTGCCGCCACATCACATTGTTGGCTCATGTTTAGCTTGTTGTCCATGAGGACAAATAAACTGGGCCAGAACTCTTAAAATTGGTCAGCTTTCTAAAAATGTTCCGATTGTTTTCAGTTGCAAAACATAACTTTTGCAAATGACATGTACCTGCTTCTTACAGTATAAGAAAGGTTAGAGTGAGAAATAAAAATACTATTGATGGAAATCCCTTCTGGATTTCCATCAATACCAGAACCACTATGTGGGCATCCAGCAACCTTGCCAGTTTGTTTCCCATGATGATGTGTTGTCAAGATCTCTCACCATGAGCACTCCATCTTGACTGATTGGGTTGATTTCCTTCTGAAGAACAGCAGTTGAGAACTAGGCTACAATCCAAGCACTGGATGAAGGGGTTACAGACGGTGGGACCTAAGAATCTTTACAACAAAATTATACAGTATCTTATTATATTAAAATTAAACAACTAATTAAATAAACAATTCAATTAAAACTAATGAAATTTGAACTTCAGTATTTACTAATTTACTATGCAGTCCTTTCTCAATTACCCAGACATTCCACTGTGTTTAATTATGTTTACTACAAGATAAGTATGTCTAGCATAGCACACTGCAATCCTATACCCATTGGAAGGAAGTAGCCTCTGTACAAAACCATGATATTGATTAATTAGATTAAGAATGTCCAGACGAGGGCGGCTAAAATGATCAAAAGTCTAGAAACCATGCCCTGTATTGAGTGATTTAAAGAGCTGAGCATGTTTAGCCTGCAGAAGAGAAGATTGAGAGGAAACATGATAGTCATAAATATTTCAGTATTTGAAAGGATGCCGTAAGGAAAAGGGAGCAGGCTTGTTTTCTTCTGCCCTGGAGACTAGGACTCAAAGCAATGGGTTCAGATTGCAGAAAAGGAGATTCCACTTAATTCTCTTAAACTTAGGAAGAACTTCCTGACCCTAAGTGCCGTTCAACAGTGGAATTCATAGCCTCAGAGTGTGGTGGAAGCTCCTTTTTGGGGGCTTTTAAACAGAGACTGGGGTGCTTTGATGGTGCTTTTCCTGCAAGGCAGGATGGCGCTGTGTAGTAATAATAATAATAATAATAATAATAATAATAATAATAATACTTTATTTATATACTGCTCCATCTCCCCGAGGGGCCTCGGAGCAGTTCCCAGGTAACATCACAAAACATACAAAGAAAAAAACAACATAACCATAAGATTAACAAAACAAAATATAAGCATAAAAATTGTCACCATAACACACATATATTAAAAGTAATCCTGCCTGTTGAAGGCAATTAAAAAATTTAAAAGGCCGGGCCAAGATTTGTGCAAGCCCAAAAATTCAAGGGGCCCGGGAATTAAGAGCAATGCTATGGCAGGCAGCAATAATATTAGGTACGGGTCTGTGGCTGTTCATTCCGGGGCCAATTAGAGGAAAGAATCTGGGTAATTGGTAGGAAGAATAAGGCCGTATTCAACAATGTGTGGGGCTGAGTTAGAACTGGTCATTTTCAAAGGCTTGTTGAAACCACCAGGTCTTCAAGCTTTCACGAAAGGAGGGGAGGGATGGGGCCTGTCTTATTTCCCTTGGAAGGGCGTTCCAGAGGCAGGGAGCCACCACCAAGAAGGCCCTCTCTCTCGTCCCCACTAACTGCACTTGAGACAATAGTGGGACCGAGTGGAGGGCCTCCCCGGAAGATCATAGAGCTCGTGCCGGTTCATAGAAGGAGATGCGGAGATAGGCAGGGCCCGAACCGTTTAGGGCTTTATAGGTCATGACCTGCACCTTGAATTTGGCTCGGCAAGTTATCGGCAGCCAATGAAGCTGTTTTAATAGGGGAGTTGTATGCTCCCTATAATTTGCTCCAGTAAGGAGCCTGGCTGCCACCCATTGTACCAGTTCAAACTTCCGGGCCGTCTTCAAGGGTAGCCCCATGTAGAGCGCATTGCAATAGTCCAGTTTGGATGCAACCAAGGTGTGGACCACCCTGGCCAAGTCAGATTTCACGAGGTATGGTTGCAGCTGGCACACAAGTTTGAGTTGTGCAAAGGCCCTTCTGGCCACCGCCTACACCTGAGCATCAAGCGACAGCGTTGAGTCCAGGAGGACTCCCAAGCTACGGTGTAGCGAAATTGCTACTCTATGTTAAATTTTTGGTGGATAGCTCTATGTTTACATATGGCAGATAGGGAAGAATAGGCACAGACAGGTAGCAACAGCAGAGATAGGATTCATTTGCATATGTGAAGCCGATTGGTCATATGAAGATTAGCGTAGGCCCAGGATTTGAAAAACTGCTAAGCCAAAATGACAGTTGGGGAGAGCAGAGCTGAACATTCCAAAGGGGCGGAGCCAAGGTTTTGAAAAGAAGCAGAGTGAGAGAGTTTGAAAATGACAGTTAGGAATCTGTGTGT